TTGCCATGCGGGTGGACCAGCACTATACGCCCCTCAACGTCCCCAATTGTGCTGGCGTGCACCCGTCGTCAACCACCGCCACCTTTGCGTTCTTGATATCGGCACCCTGCCCGCCATAGCGCATGACCTGGAAGTCCGTCTCGAAGATAAAGTCGACGTGACCGGGCCAGACGCCCGGAGCACCGGCGCCTTGTTGACCGTCCACACCGGCGACATGAAGTGCTGGACGTGCACGTCGCAGCTGCCGTGCTGCTGCAGCTGGTCGATGACGTACTGGGCGCTGGCCGCGTGGCCGTTGGTGACCGAGCGCGTTGTTGTGCGCCTCGGCGATCTCTAGGAACTTGCTGAGGTGGTTGCGGATGCGCGTGGTGCTCAGGGCGTACTCGTGCGGGTGCCCGTCGGGGTCGGACGTGGGCAGGGTGCCGTACACCCAGATTCCCAGCCCGGTGCCCACCAGCAGCAGCAGCGTCAGAAGCGAGACCACGTCGCGGCTGCGCGAATGCCACCAGCTCCGGACAGTGCGCGGCCGGCCGCGCGGGACTGTGGAAGGAATGGCGAACTCTCGTGGGCCATGGTTGAGGATAGCTACAATAGTACTAGATGGTTGCTGTAGAAGGACTAGTGTGAGAAGCAAAAGATAGGAGATAAAATTAAAGCTGTTTGGAGCCAAGCTGGCAAGTGGTCGCAGCGGCGCTCTTATTTTTCGATCGCCAACTGCCACTTGACCGCGCAGTGTTTGTGCGGCACATCTATTTTCCACCCTCCTTGCCTGAACCCACAAGCTTATTTGGCTACACCACGCCAGCCCCTGTGCGCTGTGCAGCTGGGCTTGCCCGCATTCACCAGCCCCGGACCCTTCCTTTTTGCCCTTCGCACAGACACTGTTTTTAAGCACCGATGGACCAGCTCAAGCCCAGCGACTTCACGCTCCTGCCGCAATGCGCCGAACTGCTGGATATCTGCGTCGACACCAGCGAGCGCCGCGCCGAGCTGGCACGCAAGATGGAGGCCATCACTCTGCACATGAACCGTCTGCGTGAGACCGTTGCGTCACTGCCGGGAATCAGCATCTCACAGAGCGACCAGAAGAAGGTGGCCGAGTGCCAGGCTGAGCTGGAAGAGCAGGTCAACGAGCTGACAGAGTTTGGCAAGTAGGGCTGGCCGAGCCGGCTTTCCAGTAAACCCGGTCCAGCACTTTTCACCACTTTTTTCTTCAAAGGCGCCGATTGCGTAGCTCATTTCGGTGTTGTAATTTTCTCTTTTTTCTTCGTTTCCCAGCCTTTTATTAATTTTGCTCACTCGCCCTGTCATAATCCCACACAATGTCTTTGCTCGACGACTATGCCGAATACGAATCGGGCGCTAACCACCAGCAGCAGCAGCTGGCACATTCAGATTTCGACAGCGAGGACGTGGCTGCAGACCTTCTGGCGACTGACGGCTACGTAACAACGACGCTCGAGGATGCGCCGATTTTCTCGCTGGATAGAGTCCAGTTCCAGTTCCGAACCAGGTAATCGCCATGGCAGTTGCCAACGACATGCTTGTGCTGGTCATCGAAGGTGCCCGTATCATGCGTATCGACCTGCAGGAAGCACACAACATCCGCGAGTTTGAGATCCCAGTGAAGCCAACCGACCTCAAGGCATGCAGCGCGTTCCTAGACCCCACTGGCCGCCATCTGCTGATATCGACGCCGCAGGGCGAGAACTTTTACCACTACGAGGACTGGGAGGCGGCCAAGCCGCTTAGCCGCTTCAAGAACATGGAGGTGACGGCAGTGGCATGGAACCACATGGCGACGACCAACGGAGACTCGACGAAGCGCATTCTGCTGGGGACCCACGACGGCCGGATATACGAGTCCGAACTGCGGCCTGGTAGTGACGCAAAGGCAAAGCGCAGCGAGATTCCGCTGAAGCTGGCCGGCAATGTACCTGTGCGCGAGCGCATTACAGGTATAGCCATGGTGTCGTTCCCAAAGCGCACAAAGCAGAATCTGGTCCTGGTATCGACTGGGACCCGCCTGTACCAGCTTGTTGGCGCTGCGGATACGCGGCCAGCAGCGACAAGCTGTGCGCGTTCGAGGGCTGTTTACAGAGGGCTTCGCTAACCCAAACTTCCAAGAGATCCCTGGAATGCCCGGCCCTGGTCCCTGGCTGTGTACCACAATGGAACCACAGCGACTGACTTCGCTTGGCTCACGTCTATGGCGTGTTCTTTGGCAAGCTGGTGTTTGGCAGCCAGGAATCGGGCGACAGCGTCATTGAGAATGCATCGCTGCTGCCGTACCCTGCTTCTGCCAGCAACGAACAGCCATTGTCGCTAGAACTGACAGAATTCCACATCCTGCTGCAGTACAGCAACCAGATCCGCGCTCTCAACATGCTCAACTGCAAGCCCGCCTATGACCAGCCGGTGAACGACAACCTGCAGGGTATGGTGGTTGATTCCGCCAACAAGACATACTGGCTGTTCTCTCCCAACGACATCTACGAGATTGTGATTACTGACGAGGACCGGGATGTGTGGGAGATCTTTCTGGCGCGCGGCGGCAGTTTGACAGCGCCCTGAAGCGCTGTCACAACGACGCCCAGCGGGATCAGGTTTGGCGCGCACAGGCCGAGCACCTGTTCAAAAAGAATGAGTACGTCGCTGCTGCCGAGTGCTATGCCAAGTCATCGATCGGCTTTGAGGAAGCCGTTCTCAAGTTCATCGACAAGAAGCAGAATGCTGCTCAAAGCTACTTGCTGTCCAAGCTCGACACCTTGCGTCGCCAGGACCAGACCCAGACCACACTCTTGGTGATGTGGCTGATCGACATATATCTGGGAATGCTCAGCGCTATCGACGCCAAGCTGAACGCGGCCAGGGCCAATACTGGTGCCAGTGGTGCGTCGCAGGAGCAGCATATGGTGGTAGATGAGTTTGAGGGCGAGCATGCCACGACGCAGGAGGAGCTGTACTCGCTTGTCGAGCGCTACAAGAAGCCGTTGACCCCACACCACATATCAGCTAGCCGAAAGCCACGGGCAACGCGAATTCTGGCTACACTATGCCTCCCTGCGTGGCGATTACGAGCGGGTGGTTGAATACTGGATGGAGAAGGAGGAGTTCATACGTGCGCTGCAGGTGCTTGGCCACTACGGCACCCTGAGATGCTGTACCACTATGCGCCGGTGCTGATGAGCACCCAGCCGAGGCCCTGGTTGATATCCTGATGCGCCAGCCGAACCTGACCCGAGCAAGCTGATTCCGGCACTGATGAAGTACCAGCCTGGCCGCAGCGGCCCTACCAACCAGGCATTGCGCTACCTGCATTTCTGCACACAGCGGCAAATGTGCCGTGACCCCACAGTATACAACTACTACCTGACACTGCTGGTACACGAGTCGACGTCAAGCGACGAGTCCGAACTGATGGCATTCTTGACCACATACGGCAAGGAAATGCTGTATGATCCCGACTATGCTCTACGCATGTGCAAGCGATTCGGACGGATTCAAGAGCTGCGTCCACCTTTACAGTCTTTTTAAAGCTGCCATGAAGACGCCGTCGATCTGGCACTGGAGCATGGGGACATTGGAACTGGCGCAAATACACGCCGAGCGACCCGAGGGCGACGACAAACTATGCAAGCGTCTATGGCTCAAGATCGCCCAGCACGTCATTAAGGCCAACACCTCCCGCTGCCGATGTCATGGAGCTTGTGCACCGGTCGAACCGTCTGGGCGTCGAGGACATTCTGCCGTTCTTCCCCGATTTCACCCGCGTCGATGATTTCAAAGAGGACATCTGCACAGCACTCGAGGACTACGAGACACAGATCCAGGACCTGCGGAGCGAGATGGATGAATCCACCCGTACGGCCGAAAACATGCAGCGCAATATGCAAGGACTGAAGCACAGGTTCGCGATCCTGAACGCCGAAGAAGCTTGCCAGCTCTGCGACCAGCCGCTGTGGCTGCGCCAGTTCTACGCGTTCCCATGCCAGCATGCCTGCCACGCCGACTGCTTGACGCGCAAGATTGTCAGCACCTGCAACCGGGTTCAGCGGCGCCGAATCCACGAGCTGCAAAGCCAGAGCGTCGAGATCATGAAGCAACGGCGGCAGCTGCGGTTGGCGCCATTGACAGGCAAGCAGACGGGCGAGTCTGATGAGGCGCTGGAGGCGCAGGGCAGGAGGGTGCGCAAGCAGCTGGATACGCTGGTAGCTGGGGAGTGTGTGCTATGCGGAGAGGTCATGATCAAGTCAGTTGCCGAGCCGTTTGTCACAAGCGATCTTGCTGCGGATGAGTCGTGGACTATATGATATGGCTGCTATGCTGCAATATGGTGTCTTTCGAGTATCTTGTGGCTTCAGTATGGACAGCGCATTTTTTATTCACGCTTGCTGCAAGTGAAGGATTTCTTTTAATGTCAACTTTTGTCATTAAGCATGTTGAGCCTGGCATACTCCACCAGAAAACTATTGAATAAACCAATGTCGTTTTTTAATCACGACAAGCTTATATTTGGTACATCATTTTGACGTACACGTTGGCTAAGGATCAGGGGTTAAACCCAACCTCTAGCACTTGTGCAGTGCACCCTCGATACTTAGGACAAGTATTGTTTGAAGATCAACCAGCGCCACACAACGCCATACATGCTGGTTGTGTGAAAATGTTTTTTTCGCTTGCCCAGCCAACACACTTTGTAGCCGGATCCTGTGTAAGAATGGTGCTCGTTATTCGAAGACACTTTATATGAATAGGTAGAGTGTGTGCTTGTACATATTACCTGTTCGGCGGAAATTGCTCGGCCTCAAAAAATGCATTGAAGGTGTGAGTGAGGCGTGGGATATGGCTGCCCATGATATAGTACCTAAACATACCGTGTACATGTGTATTAAAACAGGAGGCAATATGGCACTTAGCCCTACTCCTCACCTTCACTTTACAAGTTTATTTCTAGAAGCTATAATGTCTATAATCAAGACCGAGACCGGCACTGCTCTCGACGAGACCCTCACTGTGCAGAATTCGGGTGCCATGACAGCCGTACCAGATATCAATGAGCAGCCTATTTCCGAGAAAGCGCTTGAGGCTGGCGCAGGGGCAGAAGCACCTTCCAATGGAGTAACTAGCAACGACTCTGGAGCTGGTGATGAGGCGGCAAATGCCGATTTGGCGTCGTATACGCTTTCCAAGAGACAACAAATTGGCTCTCTTGTTAGCATGTGTATGCTTACATTCATTGCTTCATTGGATGCAACTATCATGGCCAGCATTTACGTGCCGATTGCCAGTGATTTCGATGCGCTGGGCCAGGCTGTCTGGATTCTCACCACGTACATGCTATCGTCGACGATTGTACAGGCGATTATCGGCAAAATCAGCGACATTCTTGGCCGCGTCGAGACCACTCAAGCTAGCATCGTCATGTTTATACTTGGCTCCATTCTCTGCGGGGCATCGCAGTCGATGAACATGCTCATCGCCAGCCGCACAATCCAAGGAGTCGGTGGCGGGGGGATACTGGGACTGACAGTGGTTCTGTTGGGAGATATTTTCAGCGAGCGCGAACGTGGAAAATACATGGGTGCGCTTTTCATCAGTGTTTGGGCTTGCCGTCGTAATCGGACCGGTGATAGGTGGCGGCATCGTCGAGCACGCTTCATGGCGAATCGTGTTCTGGATCAATATTCCGATATGCGTCATTGCAATGGCCCTGATCTTCTTCACGCTCAAGCTGCCAAAGGCCAAGGGAACGCTCAAGGAGAAGGTCCAGCGTGTTGACTTTATCGGCTGCGCACTATTTACCATTGGAATGGTTCCTATTTTGCTCGGGCTGTCCTGGGGTGGCCAACAATACGAGTGGACATCGGCGCAGGTCCTGGCATGTCTCATTTGCGGATTTGTCGTACTGCTTGTGTTTGGATACGTCGAGTACCATTATGCTGTCGAGCCGATTGTCCCTGTCCGTCTCTTCCGAAGCCTCAATGTCCTTGCGGCACTAGTAGCAGCCCTTACCTTGGGTGCAAACTTATTTGGAACGTCGAATATCATTCCTATCTGGGAACTCGCGATCAAGCACGCGTCAACTATGTCGGGCGGATTGCATCTCCTCCCTATTGCACTAGGGATTGTATTTGCTTCGCCTCTGTGCGGCA